CTTAAAGAGCCTGAGGATGTTGGCGATCATGACAGACACGGACGAAGAAGCTGCTCCTATGACACCGATGACAGGCTTGGGGGGGTTGTAGATGGGTTTCTTGCCTCCCTCGCACTTGAAGTCTGACACGTCCTGAGGGAGAGAAGACGAGAGCTTAGAGAGAACGACAAATCGCGGGACGTTTTTTCCGTTTTTAATGTTTAATGTTTTATTTATCTTTAATTTCATTTTATTTTATTTTATCTTATTTTATTTTATTTATTCATCTATTTATTTATTTATTTACTTATTTATCTAGCTATCTATCTGTCTATTTATTTATTTATTTATTCCACATTTCTGGTGTATTTCGTGCATGTGTATATGAGAGATTTTGTTGACTCAATTGAAGAATTTTGTGTCTAGATTCTCGTGCTTCTGTTCTGTTGTTATATGTACAGTCGCGGTCGAAACTTCTGTCAAACATGTTCCGAATTCCGTTTCATACCACACTTTTTGCACAGTGTAAGGAAGATTCGAAGCTTCAGTTCATGAAAAAGACTTTTGACCGTCACTGTACAAAACTACCTCGTTTGCAATGAAAGTTTTTCACAACAAACAATACCGTTATAAAAATTCCAGCGTCAGAAATGCATTGAACTGTCTGTCATTCTTTTACTCAATATAAAATTCCAAGTATGTACGGCTACAAGAATAACAAAAAGAAAACATTATATAAATAAGATAAACAAAAAATAAGCCGCACAGTGTCGTTATGGCAAAGGCAAAATGGCGTCCTTTTCCCCAATATACCGAGTCCTTCGTGAAATATTGAAACCATAAAATCATTCCAATAAGCAAAGCAATATAAAGCCTTCATAGCGTGAAAAGTCATCCGGCGTCGCTATAGCAACACTAAGACCCATTACCCGTGCCACTGATGCGTATGGCTGACGATGGCGGTGCTAGATATGAAGACCCGCGATAAGGAGCACTCGGCTGCTGTCTTCAAGTGTGGGTTCAACTGAGGATCCTGGCGGTAGTCTTACAGCCTTAGTATTGCCCTGTAGGTGTGGGTTTCCCTTCAAATTGCCTCGCTAAGTGGGTCTAGAATTATGCCTCTTCTCGTCCACCCTCCTCCAATCAGTAATCTTATGCTGTGGGAATGGGATCTCCTCCTCCCCTTTCCATTGGGTGGATATACACTATGGAAGTGGGTTCCCCTCGTCGCCCACCTCGCATCGACCTTCGAATCTGTGGATGTGGGTACACCTTCTAGTCGGTCTGTTTACACCCGTCGTCCTTGGGTGTGGATACCCCTTCCCTTCTTCTGTTCATACCCGTCATCTTTGGGTGTGACTACCTTTTCCCTCCCTCTGACTACGACCGTAAACTGTGGGTGAACGGCCGGTTTGTTAGAACTGTGCGAGGCCCAACCCAAAGAATATTCCTTATGCAGACGTGCATATGCACAGAAATAAATACATATCTATCAGTCTAGACATGAATATCTATTGGATAGATAGATGGATAAATGTATGTCTATCAGACAAACAGACAGATATGTATCTATTTATGTGTGTATGCATGTTCCATTTTTTTGTTAGAATTGTGCCAAGCCCGACCCAATGAATTTTCATAAATACAGATGCAGAGATAAAGGCATGTCTGTCTATATATGATCCATCTATTTGCCGGGTTGAATTTCTAGACTTAAATACTTTATTTATGCATGTCAAGTATACGAATATTCTTTGGGTCGGGCCTCGCGCAATTCTAACAAACCGGCCGTTCAACAGAGGATTTGGGATCCCTTCCAATCCGAAGTCATCATCATCATGGAATCAGTCGTCTATATTCACAGATATTCATCAACAAAACGAAAAATCTGTATCAATAAAATCAGTAGTCTAATGCACGAAGGAGCGAGTCTACCTACGAATGGGAATAGATTTCTTGACCTAGTATTGAGACCTACAAGGAAAGTGTAAGCATGCTTTTGTGCGCCGTTGCGTTGAGGACTTGTGATTTGCATTTGAAATACTTCGAAAGAATACAAGAACTGTACAGCATGATTAGGTAAATCTTTGTATCCTATTGTTTCGTATGTCTTTTAACTTCAATGGGTATTATCGTTGCCGTCTGTCACCATTACATTTTTATTCAAAGAGCAGAATAAAAAAAATAAGTGACATGTAAAGCAGATTTACACGTAATACGACTTATTACACTTCTTACGATTTTTTTCTTTTTAAGATTTAAATTCTGTTAGCTAAAAGCCTCTTCCAAAACCCAAGGATATTGAATTCATACAAAATACCACCAAGGGAATTTTAAGGGAAGCAATAGTATTTTTTTGCTCAGAGGGATCAGCTGTTCCAACAAAGATGGTCGTCCAGAACTGTAAGAAGATTGCTAAATTGAATGAACATAAGATCTTCCTTTGTTCAGAGACTTTTATGGGCAGCCACGGAATAATCTTGTTATTCCAGACTATCAATTCTGGTGTATGCATTTCGGAGGGTGAAATCTTTGTTTCTCACTGATTTTCTATGTGTCTGCGGGTGTCTCTGTCTCTTTCTGAGTGACTCTGCGTGCTCTTGGCTCTCTCCTTGTGTATCCTCCTCTCCTCTGTATGCATGTTGTTCTTCTATTCCTCTCCCTGTCTCTGTCCTTTCTCTTCATCTTCTTGTCTATTCGTCTCTCTCTGTCTACTCGTCCTTCTCTTCCTTCTGTCTCTCTCCTCTCTCTCTCTGTACTTCTCTCCCTCTCTCCTCCCTCTTGTCTCCCTCTCTCTCCCTCTTCTCTCTCTCTCTCCTGTCTCTTCCCTCTCGTACCTTCCTCCTCCACTCACTCTCTCTCTATCTCTCTCCTCTGTCTGTCTCTCTCTCTCTCTCTCTCTTACTCTCTCTCTCTTCTCTCTCTCTCTCTCTCTCTCTCTCTCTCTCTCTCTCTCTCTCTCTCTCTCTCTCGCTCTCTCTCTCTCTCTCTTCTCTCTTATTCTCTCACTCCTCTCTTCTCTCTCTTCTCTCTCTCTCTCCTCTCTCTCTCTCCTCTCTCTCTCTCTCTCTCTCTCTCTCTCTCTCTCTCTCTCTCTCTCTCTCTCTCTCTCTCTCTCTCTCTCTTCTACTATATCTGCCTGTCTCTCTCTCTCTCCTTCCTCTCTCTCTCCTCTCTCTCTCTCTCTCTCTCTCTCTCTCCTCTCTCTCTCTCTCTCTCCTCTCCTCTCTCTCTCTCTCTCTCTCTCTCTCTCTCTCTCTCTCTCTACTCAATCTCTCTCTCTCCTATACACACACACAACACAGACACTGACTCACTCATCCAACACTCACCACCACCATTTATATACCATAGGATTTGATAATTACAAACATAAATAAAACATCAATTCAAATCACTGAATTGTCCATAAGCTTGTAAATCAACAACATAACAACTGTATTGTTTCCCTTTTTTGTCAGTATTAGGAAAATATCTGGTTACACTAGTTTATTTTCCGTCATCGTGCGTGTTCGCTTTTGGAAAGAAAGGTCAAGAGAAAAGAAAAAGAGAGTGAAATGAAGAAAGGGATGTAAATAAGTGAATGAGCATATAGATGAATAGACAGATAAGTAGATATAGATAAATAAAGTATAAAGAGAGAGAGAGAGAGAAAAGAGAAAGATAGATATATAGATATATATATATATAGATAGAGAGATAGATAGCGAGATAGATAGATAGATAGACAGATAGATAGACAGACGGAGTGAGAGAGATAGGGGGTGCATATATATATATATATATATATATATATATATATATATATATATATATATATATATATATATATATATATATATATATATATATATATATATATATATATATATATACATATACATACATAGAGAGAGAGAGAGAGAGAGAGAGAGAGAGAGAGAGAGAGAGAGAGATTGATACATAAAACAAGAGACAGCGAGAAATAGAGAGAAATATGTCTACTGGCACACACGTCCCCTCTCTTCTTCTCATTTTTTTTTTTATTTTTTTTTATTTTATTATTATTATTATTATTTTTAGCGTAGCATCAAAAACAGAACTAAATTCGAAGTAATTTCCTTGGTGAACTTTCACATAAAATTCTAGGATTGAATGAGTTGACGAATAATGATAACTATTCGAAAAACAAACAAACAAACAAAAAACATTATGCAACCATCTTCTTCTGTTGCATGCATCTCTCAACGTGCTTTGAATATCAGTAACAATAACAATTTGAAATGGCGAGTGAATAGATGTTCCTATTTGTTGAACACATTTCTGACTTTCATCTGAAACCCGAGTGTTATATCGGAATAAGTCTTTGGAAAATAAAAAAAGAAAGTTGGGAACAATTATCTGTGATGAAAGATTTCTTGAGTGGCTTTAATATTTTTAATTTGAACGTTGGTTCTAAATGTATTATTTACTCCCCCAAAACAGTTATATTTAAATATCTTTATGAAAAGTGTAAAACTGAATAAGCGGCTTTCATTTGACGTGTATTAATATAAAGTATTTGTAATTGTGTAGCTCATAAAATGAACAGCAGAGTGATCGGAAATCGTCCCAGTTTTCATAACTACAATGTATACATCGTGTATCCAGACATATACACATACACTCACACAAAAACACACAATCATACCCACCCACAAACATACACACACACACAAACATACCCACACACACCCACAAACACAAACACACCCCACAAAGCAACACCACATCTCCCTCAATTTTTACCCCACGTCAATCAAAAAAGGAAAACACTCCCCGCATCTATCCCAAAAACCACCCTCCCCCCCCCCCTCAAAAAAAAAAAAAAGCCACCCTCACTCCCCACCTCGCCAATCCCCCCCACATCCACCCCGGCGGCCCCCTCCCCATCATACATTAATCATCGTGGCCCTTAATATATTCGTCCCTCTGCCAGTCCACTTTGCAACCGCATCAATCCATCTGCCTTGACTGACGCCACGCTGTCTGTATGCGACCCCTGTGCGATGGGGTCTGTTATGTGACCCCGTGATGTTTGAACTTGGCTGCGTCGGCGGGGCTCGTCTTGGTTAAAGGGGGTGGCGGTGCGGTCTCGCGTCGGAATGGATTGGGACCGGTGTATGTGTGGGAAT